CGTGTACCCGCTTGTGTAGCCATGGACAGTCTTGATCGCACTGACACAAACAAGCTGCAAGCTTGCCGCAAGCAACTCAAAAATGATCGCCCTCATTCTGTGGGTCAAAAAAGAGCCGCCGTTGAAAACGAGTGATGGCAGAACGATGTCAAAATTTGGCAAGAGCGCCTTCCATGGACTCGGAAAGAAGAGGCAATAAATAAGCTGCGCAGGCACGTAGCATTTTGCGCGACCCGCGAGACTGCATTGTTACAACCCTCGGCTCTTGTGTATCTCGCCCATGCCCGCCTTCGACTTATGAAGTCTGCTCTATGATTGATCAGCCTCACGAGTGGCTCAATGTCCTTGAACAATATTGAGCTGATGCGACCCGATGCGCCGTCGCGGTGGCTTTCTGCACAGAATGTCGAGGCAACAAACCGCACAAGCTGCTACTGTGCGACATTGAGGAGGCCGACCGAGATCAAGCCATCGGTTCAAAGCGGATTATTCGGCAAACCAGAGAGTTAGAGGAAGGTCGACTAGTGGCAACATGGTCTGATTGGCGTCAGATGTAACAAACCTAGACCGCTTCAATCGCTGTCAACATTCCACAAGCGTACCCATCGTCAGCTGCCGGTTCACCAAACGGATGGTTGCATTTCTACCTCACTACGTGGCCAACCATCTGTTTTGACACGCAAAAGTCTGGATCGAACGTGGATATCAAGACGGGGAAGTGCGGTCCGTCTGAGCTGCATCGAGCACCTCCACGTGCTCATTCGTCGAGCAAAAGGGAAAGAGGAAAACACCAGGGCATCGTTCCGGTTCCGGTACGACAGGGAAACCCGGCGAAAGTCAAAGGTCCTTCAGCAGATAAGCTTTCGAAAGGCTGCATTTTGGCCCCAGTCATACGTTGGGGCATATCATTCAGCCATTGCGCTCCCCTTCTTTGACCAGGTCGTTTCTGCGACCGACGAATGTCTTTCCATCCTTCCTTTGCAGTGTTGCTTACTTGCATGCTAGAGCCTCAGATTTCAAAATCGATTCAGAGAAATCCCAGAGCTCGGATTAAACGAGCGGTTTAGCATTGAAAAATGATTGTGGCAAAGATTGGATCAATCTTGGGACTCCTTTCCTTCTCAAATCCCACTCAGCGAAGGTATGGACCAGTCATCGAGTCTCGCGATATGAACGAACCAACGATTCTTCCAATTCCCATCAAGTGAGTCCCTTGGAGCGATACATTGAGCCTTACGCTGAATTACCTAGAGAGACTCAATTATTCGACGGGCCGGATCACTGGTGGTATTATTTCATGCAGTCTTCAATGAGTTGGGGCTGACGATGCAGGTCCTCTTTCCAACTCGCCATTGGAAACTCGACGACTGGCTCAGCCCAAAGCATCCGAGTACTTCCGTCAACATCTTTTAGCTGGATTGTGGCGATCAACCCCGTGGGTTGCGGCGGAGATAGCCCGGATGATTGCGAAAACTCGCGGGGCAACTTCTACAACCCAAACTCTACAGGTGCTCTTCCTCTTGGGGGCACTTTCTTGGAGTCATTTTCTGGTTTTCAGGAGCCTCAGATTCAGGGATATTTGTACTCAGACAGCGTCTCTTTCCCGGACACTCCTGGGACGATCCACGCAAACTCGCCGACAATTCTCAACATTGCCCAGATTGACTACTGGGTAGGGCTGCTGCCGTTGAACCCCACCAAGAATTCAGTCTCAGACCCCTCAAATAAGCATCCAAGTCTTTTGGAATGCCTGAAAAGGGATCGCCAGATTCCCAGTCTTTCCTGGGGTTATACTGCTGGAGCAAAATACAGTAAGTTTTCCTTTTTTCCTTTGTGCAATATTTTACCTGTGGCCATGGAATGGATCCTACGGTGGATCTATAAGCGGCTAATGAAATCAAGAATCGATCGCTGCTTATGGCAGCCTTACTCTCGGAGGCTATGACAACTCTCGCATCGACAACACCACCTCCTCCATACAGGGAAGCTTAACCGATGATCCTGCCCAAGATTTCGCGATGACTTTGGCGTCCATCACGACTGACACCAACGAGCTCACCATACTTACCGATTCAAATTTGAAGGTTGTTCTCGACTCGACACTCCCGTACCTTTACTTTACCTCGGACCTCTGCCAGAGCTTCGCTGACAAGTTGAATCTGACTTTGAACGACACTGTTGGTCTATACCTCATGAGCCAGGATGATAAGGACAGGCTCAGTACTTCCATTGAAAACATGACCTTCGTCCTCCGAGAGACTTCGACGTCGAACAGTGGCGCCGCAGTGAAATTCGTATTTCCCATTGCCGCATTCATCCTGAATGTGTCTCTTGCCGAAATCGATCCAACACTCAAGGGCTGGTCTTGGTACTTTCCGTTGAAGACCAAGGCCGATAGTACTATGTCCACGCTCGGACGCGTATTCTTGCAAGAAGCGTACCTCATTGCAGACTACGAGCGCAAAAAGTTCAACATATCTCCGGTCCATTGGCCAGATGACTTGGTCTACACAAAAGACCTCCGACCAATTCATCCCGTAGACGCGTCCAATGAAGGAGGATCCAGTAGCCTCTCCAAGGGAGCGCTGGCAGGTGCCATCGTCGGCGGCATAATTGGCGGACTGATCCTCGCATGCATTTTCCTTCAACTGTACCGCCGCCGTCAGCGCAACCATCGCCGCCTCTCATCCAAATCAGCACCTCCCTCGTACATTGGCGCCCACACTTCCGAAGCCTCCATCGCCGGCGGCCGATCCCGCGCAAGCTCGCGCATCGCATCTCTCTTCCCCTTTCGCAACCCATGGAGCGGCAGCGAGCGAGGCTACGAGCCACCCCAAGACCCCGGATACGTCGTACCACCGGAGGGCGAAGAAAAGGGACCGCTGGGCAATGAACTGGACGCCAACACTACGGGCGTCTACGAAATGTACCAACCCAAGCGCATCATCCCCGAAGTTGAAGGCGACACGTCCTACCCGGCGAACGGCCTTGCCCCTGGAGCAGTTGGCGGCAACGCGCGGACGAGCAGCTCCTCCATCGACCCGCACACGACAGTCGAAGGGGACGGTGAGGCCAAGCCCGTCAATGTCTTTGAAATGGAAGCAAACAGCCTGGACCCTAATTCTCAGGGCCCATCGCCTATGCCGACGCCGTCGCTCCCGTCGCCCAGCTCCGCCGAGGCAGCAGAGCGCCACGTCCTCGCGGAGAATCAGCGACAGGAAAGGCCAGAGCCTGGCGACCGCAGGACGTCTGGCCAGTCGACCGTGTCGGCACCCAGCCCGTATACGATGAATGAACGACGTGTATCGGATCGCTCGTTTGTGTCGCTGTCCGTCTTTTCCGACGCGGGCACTGGTACTCTGGGAAGCATTTTCGCAGACCACCCCTTCTCCACGCCTTCTGGCGTCGGCGGCTCAGAGGCGCCGTCCAACGTGTCAACTGAAAGAGGCAACGAACCACAAGAGGGAAGTGGCGGGAGTAACCCAGGGATTGATGGCGACGGCGCATCTCGATCAGGTGCTGCCCCTGAAGCTGACGCCAGTGGTAAGCAGTCGGCGCAGGCGCAAACACAACAGCCTCAGACACGGCGTCCAAGTGCAAGTGTCCTCAGCCGCAGCTTGAGTGCGAGGAGTCGCAGTGGCAGTGAGGGTCCGCCAGTGAATCTGGGCGCCATCACGGAGGACCGCGAGCACGAGGGTGCGGCGTGGACGAAGACGCAATGATGAAGCATAATGAGGATAATGATTTCTCCTTGGTGTTTACAGTCAATTACCGCAGCAAATGATTGATGTTTCTTCACTGATGGCACGCAGTCAATGAATGCTTGGAGGCTCATGTTGTGGGATGACATGCATTGCATTTGCACAATGATACAAAGGCAAATATGATTCTGCGCGAGCTCCAGGCAGCAATGCTGCGGTACACCCAATGTTCTGTTGCGGCAACAAAGGCCACACCGCAAGTCCAGAGCTCGCCTTGTCTCAGAGCGCCAGAAGAACCCAGCAGCTCCAAAATCAGAGTGGCAAAACTGAGGAACCCCTGCTTCCCATTGTCGCTCGCGTCCGAAACTGCGGGGAAAAAGCGAGACAAACTTCCACACACCCCCAGACTTTGTTCAGGCCCTGCAATCCATTGTCCATACACAAAGAACCTGATGCTCGCAGCCGCTCCCGGTACCACAGAAGGGCGCACGTGAAGCTTTCTGCTGCTGGCGCTGCGGCACGAGGCTTGCCCCGTGTCACGGCTGCAACCCCATTGACTGCAGCCACGGGCCGGTTCTGCAACCAGGCTGAGTATTTGCAGCATTTGCGGCTCTGTCCGGTGGTGGATTCTTCATGCGCCGTTTACTCTTTTGCTTTTGCAACGCGCTGCGTGTTGCACAAGGCTGGATGCGGAAGGAGGTGGTACTGGTGCGGGAGCGCATGCTGCTAACACTGCGCGACCCCAACCTCAACTAGCAATCAAGTTCGCTGTGGTCGACCGTTTTGCTTCTGTACATAGATTCGAGGGTCTCCAATGCACTGAGGGTCGGAGTGCTTGGAGTTGGCGCAAAAGGACGGAGCGATAGGAGGTCACAATGCCCGGGACTATTCCGCCTTCACTTCTTCAAGCAACTAATATTTACAATTCTACAGATCCCGGGGTTGACAATGCCTTTTTCGAACGTCATTAGCTTCCAGATGGGTCGAAGTACTCGTCCGCAATCGGTTTACGTCAGCCCCCATTCGCGAAATTCTCGTTCGCAGCCCCAATGCACCTTTTCGCCCTGGGTTAACAACCCCTAGGTACACTCCGCTGTACTTTACTTTCGAAAGGACATTCTCCGATGATACTGAAAGCCAACGATGGTCAGAAACAGCAAAAGTTCTTCAGCCAGGGCTCGCTTGCCCGCTTTCGGCCCGTCACGCCCGCGCTCCACCACCACGCCTCCCAGGCCACCCCCTGACCAAAACATCAACCCACGATGCATCCACAACGTCCCAATAGGCTTCAAAACGTAATGCGTCGGCCGGGAATCGAACCCGGGGCTGATCGAGCTTGGAATCGTAAGCTTCTTCGTGTTGAAGCTGTGGATCCTAATGGCAACGATCAATTTTACCACTAAACCACCAACGCGGCTTGATGATGAGTAATTTGCTTAATTGAGATATGTACTCAACACAACCTCTTGTGGGGAGCAGATTCCAAGCTACTGGCAGCTGTTTGGCTTCCTCAAATGCTCAAGGGTTGCCGGAGAATGCCATCTGGCGGAGAAAAAGGGGTCGGAAAAGGGGTCGACCAGGTTTTGTAGGAAGCAAAGGAAAGAGCAACGCGACAGCATGCGCACGCCATCCGGCTTACGCCCGCTCTCAGCTTTTGCTCATCCATTTTATGTCACAAATTCCCCGGGCATTGCAGACAAATGATCCAGTTAATAGACAGTGGTAGAAGAATAGCGGGACTTAGTTTCGAGCGCCTCAACTCCGATCAAAGTACCACGAACCAGGTAGCATCGGGCTGCGGAACACCAGATTATCTTTGTAGATGATGCCTTTGCGAGGCCTCGATCTATAAGGATTTTTTCCTCATCAAGAAGCTCCCACAGAGCCCACGCTGTCTCATGCTACTACAAAGCACGGAGTAGCTAATCATGGCATACCGCACAATGAGCCACTTGTTTAGGACTGCTTGTCTTAAGGACCAGGTTTAGATTTCCCATTGAGATTCACTACTTTCTCAAGTCACCCTCAAGTCATCCTCAAGTCTACATTCCGCGAACGCATTCTCAAACGCCACGTCCTCCCTTCCTCCATATGTACCAGCGCGCCAAATGACACAGCAAGCAGCTGGCATGTGCACAAAAGACTGCTTGCCGGAGGGAAGGGCATGACTTTGATTGGCGGCGTAAGGAGCCGCGCGTGAACATAATCCGGGCAACCACGACGCAGTCTTTGCAGAGTCCACCGTTAAGCTTAATGATGGGTAAGACTAAGGTAGTCAAGCACTGCACTGTAAACGCCACCTCCCCAAGTGACAAACACAGACACAGATAGTAGCAGATCAAATCGAAATGGAAACGTAGCAATTTAACCTTGTATCATAAATTCTCAAGTAAAGTCAAGTCGAGGTGTGGGTGTGAAGGGAGCATCCACGCATACCCGCTGATGCAGTCTTCCAGTTGCCGTTGATACTCCCTCCATCCGAGGCCTGGCAGCAAAAGTCGTGGCGGCACACACAGGCAAGAACCAAGCCAAAGTGATCAAAGAGTATGCAAATAAGCGACCACAGACGCATTGAAAATCTCCATCTCATAAAGGCGTGCGTGCGTCTAGGGAGCATTCAGGCGTCTTGTGCATTGTATGTTAGAATTCACCAAGGCCTTTCTTTTTGTTGGGTTGCAGGGAGCAGCCGTAGCTACTGAGTGTGCCGCGACTTTTGCTACTACTAAGCCTCGATCTGAAGACCCTGCGCGCAGCCTGCCACACCGCAAAAACCGCGTGCGCCGTACAGCACCAAACGCCCAAACCAAAAACATCCTGCCGCGTGGCGACTCAAAGCAGCTCTTTGACCAGACAGACAGACACTTCCAAATGCAACAGACAGTGTAAAAGCGGAATCAATTCCAGCTAATGATGATGATGCTTGATGCAATGCTAGATGCTAGAAAGGAATGGCGTTCGTAAATCGTCAAGGAGTGAGGAATACTAGGGACTAATGAGGATGACAGAGGACTGGACTGGACCGTTCGCGGCCGACTGGTGGCAGGTAGGTAGGTAAGCAGGAGAAACCCCCCATGTCAATGACACGGAGACCATCCCAATCAAGCCCACATCTCCACCTCAGACCCCCCGTCTACCCCTTCCTGCCCTCCCCCTCCCCCTCCTCCGCCACATCATGCGCCTGCACCATGGCCACAAACACCTCATCCAGCGTCGTGCGGCCAACGCTATACAAGCCGATGCCCGCCTCGCGACGTCCCCTCGTCTCGAGGAGGTTGAACAGGCGCGCGATGCTCAGCCCGCCAGGGCGCTGTCCATCGTCGTCGACTTTATCGTCGACAATGGGCACGACAAACCGCACGCCGCCGCCGACACCAACCCGCGAGTCCAGCTGTGCAGACGGGATGGCAGCCGCGATCCAGTCGCGCACGCGCTGCGTGCGTTGGGCACGGGACGCGGGGACCGGTGTACCAGCATCAATGATGCTGCTGTCGGCATCCGAGGAGTCGTCGTCTTCATCCGCCAGACTGACACCCACGACCCAAGCGCGGCCCCAGCGCCTCCGCAGCTGCTCAATACTGCCAACACCGAGCACCTCACCACCAACGACGCCAACGCGGCCGCGGCCCGCCACCGCCTCCGCCTCCTCCATCGAGTGCGTGGTCAGCAGGACGGCGCGGCGGGCGGCGACGCCTGGCGCGCACAGCGCCCGCCACATGGCGCGTTTGGCGGCGGCGTCCATGCCGGAGGAGGGCTCGTCGAGGAGGAGCACGTCCGGGTCGGCGGTCAGGGCGACGGCGAGGGAGAGTTTGCGCCGGTTGCCCCCTGACAGGGCGGGGGCAGGCCGGTTTGCCATGTCAGGGGGTAGGCCGACGGCGGCGATGGCGGCGGATACGTTGGCGGCCACGCTGGAGGAGGGGATGCCGCGGGCGCGCGCGTAGAAGGTGAGGTGCTGGGTTACGGTGAGCGTGTCGACGGCGTCGAATTGCGGACACACGCCTAGGCGTAGCCGGGCCGCGGCGCGGTGCCGCGATATGCTGTGCGAGGAGATGAAGGCGTCGCCGGCGGTGGGGTGCAAGTCGCCGCGGATGAGCGAGATGGTGGTGCTCTTGCCGGCGCCGTTGGGGCCCAGCAGCGCAAATGTTTGTCCAGTCGGCACGCCGAAGGTCACGTCGCGGACGGCCGGCGGCTTGCGCCGCGAGAAGCGCTTGGTGAGGTGGACGACGCGCAGGCGGTCGTCGGACTGCTCGGTGCGGCGCGCTTCGACCAGCACGTCGGGGTCCATGTGCGATGTTTGCTCCGAGTCGGGCGGCTTGTATGAGTTGCGGGTGAGGATGGCCGGCTTGTAGCCGCTGTCCCACCAGACGAGGAAGATGAAGAGGACGAGCGCCTGGCAGATGAGGTACAGGATTGGGCCGCCGTAGGCCATGAGGTCGCCCGGGTAGGAGCGCACAGCATCGCCGTCGCAAAGAAGGGAGAATTCGTTGAGGGAGAGCAGCAGGGCGCGGAGCAGATTGCCCGCCGGGGTGATCAAGGCAATCGTAAAGTGAGCGAGCGTAACGTCGCGGTCAATATCGGCGGGCGCTATGTAGGTCAGGATGCACATGTACGCGACAAAGTAGATGAGGAAAAAGGCCGCCTGGCCACCCGCCATGAAAGCAAAAGCGGCGAGCTGCGACGTCACAAAGAGCGACACGACGTAGGCGAGGAGGATGGACGTGAAGCCGTAGAGGAAAAAGACGACAAAGAGGTAGCCAGGGGCATACCAGACGCCAGACACGCCAACGTAGATGATGGTGACGACGACTGAAATGAGCAGCACAAAGCAAAAGTCGAAGAGCACATACGCAACCCACAGCGGGGCGGCGCGGATGCCGTTGCTATAGTGCAGGGCTCGCACCTTGTTGACGCGCTCAACCGTGGGATACAAAGCAAAGAAGCCAGTATACGCGCACATAGCCAGGCCAAAGTACAGAATGAGCTGCAGTGTGTCGCCGGCGTTGGGCGAAAAGGGGACTGCGAAGCTCTGGAACTGCGTCTGAATCGTCGTGTTGTAGAGGACATTGTCGAGCAGATTCTGCGTCATGAGCGCGTAGTATACACCACCGTTTGCAATGTATGCCATGGTCGGAGTGGAGTCGAGGAAGAAGCCACCGGGTGTCGCGTTGCCAAAATTGATCTGGATGTACGATGTAAACTCGCCGCTGCTCTCGACAAAATGCAGGTCACGAGCAGTCAGGGGGAACGATTTCGAAATGGTATCGACAGACACCCTGCTTGACGGACCGACGGGTATGAGAATGTCGTCCCCGGAAAAGACGTCCAGCGCCAGACTGACGGTGGTGGGATTGCTGGCAGAAGCACCAGGGTCACAAGACGCGCCCGTGAAGCCGTGCAAAAACAGCGTCGTCAGACCAGCGGCGATGATGGGAATCAACACGGCGGCGGCATACGGCATCCAGTTGTTGGCGAGAATGAGCATGCGCTTGTGGAAGAGGACGTAGGTCTGCTCGAAGAAGCTTGTGCTGCGGCCCTTGGACAAGGCGATGGGTTCGGCTTCTTGCTTGGCCTCCATGGCCGACGACTGCTCCGAAACGGCGACGTGCGAAGAGGCATTTTGGCCCGCCTTGACAGGCTCCGGGTGGTTGTCGTCGTTGTCTGGCGCGACTTCGACTTCTTCTGCAAGCCGGAGAAACACATCTTCAATCGTTGGCCCGTTGACCTGGTATTGCGAGAGGCCCTCGTCCTCTAGCTTGGCCGTCAGCTCCGCCGCCTGCGCCGAATCGGCAACCTGATACACCGTCTGATCAAACAGAACCTGATGTGGAATGCCGTCGAGGGCCTTGGGTTGGTCTCGCACAATCGAATTGTCAAGGATGATCCGGTATCCGCCGCCAAGTCTGTGCTTCAGCTCGACAGCGGAGCCCTCTGCCTTGAGGTTGCCCTTGGACAAGACGACAATGTAGTCGGACAAAAAGTCGGCTTCGTCAAGGAAATGCGTCGTCAAGAGCATAGTTCGGGCGCCTCGCTCCGCCAACAGGATGTCCCAAATCTTGCGGCGGCTCAGGGGGTCGATGCCAGAGCTCACCTCGTCGACACAGCATACCCTGCTGCCGCCAGTAAACATCATTGCGAGCTGGAGCTTTCGCTTCTGGCCTCCAGACAGCGTCTTGCTCTTGGCCTTGAGCTTGGGAAGGAGGTCGCATCGCCTGACGAGATCCTCAATCTGCGTCTTGGAGTCGGCAGTCGCGGCCTTGAGCTCGTTGAAAATTTTGACGTGCTCAAACACAGTAAGGTCGTCCCAGAGCACATTCTTTTGCGGACACAGTCCAAGCCCTCCCGTGCCGTCAATCTCTATGGAACCGCTGGTAATGGTGTTGAGGCCGGAGATGGAGTCGAGCGTGGTACTTTTGCCGG